ACTCTCTGAAATGTAATCAAGTGATTTGGGTATTTTATATACAGAGAAACAGGTAGCAGGGAGTCAGTTGCAACATGGAATTTAATCTAGGGATTTGTGTTGGTTTATGTCCAGAGTCACAGAATCTAATCAAAGGGTTCAGGATGGTTTAAAAATTGTGTGCAAACTTTGAGAGGCAGAAAATTTGGAGGGGGGTTTAATTCGAATGGGGCAGGGAAAATATTTGGTGGAGAGCAAAAATTTGGAGGGGGGTGAGTACCAAATCTGAGAGGAACCAGTGTTAGGTGCGGTGCAGAATTTGGGGGCATGATAACAGGGGGAACTTGAGTGCTTGCAAAGTATTTCGGGGTTGCTAATTAAGGGGATCACAAATTCGGGCCTGTATAATTGAGGAACATGCAACATTGGGGAGGTGCATAATTTGAATGGGCATAAAATTGGGGGGAGTTTGTAGCAGGCTGCATAATTCTGTGCAGGATGCTGTCAATGTGGGAGTACAATATCATGGGTCCAATACTTGGAATGCAAAGTTTGGGCAGGGGCACAAAACTTGGGCCTGCAATATTTGGGGTAGGGTGCAAATTTTTGGGCAGTACAGCAAAATAGTGGGTTTTCTGTAATTGGAGTTGGATGAAGACATGGTAGGGTGCCAGATGAGGCAGAGCATAACTTTTGGGGCAAAATTGTGGGGGCTGCAAGCAGGAACAATATCAGGTGTATAAAACTGGAGGGTTGGCACAATATTAATGGGCACAAAACTGGAGTTAAAATTGGGGTTGCAAAAAATCAGGGTGGGGCACAAAGCAGGAGGTGGGCACAATATTTGGATGGGGCAAAAGTTTGGGAGGTGCGCATCAATTTTGGGGGGGTGCAGTATCTGTGTGGGGACACAGTTTTCATAATGGAGTGACCATTTTTGGAGGTGATGGAAAACATGGGGGTGCGGATACAGCAAGATTTGTGAGTTTTCAAAACCAATGTTAGGAGTATGCAGAAATTTTGGGATACAGTACTGTGGGACTATCATATTCAGTGGCAACACAAAACCTGGGAGGAGGACTGCATCGTTTCAGTGATGCATAGTTGGGGATGGGCTGCAAAACAATGCCGAGGTATATGCAGCGAGGCAGGGGAATGCAACAAGGTGGGGGAAAATTTCCCCCCTCACACCTTGAACCTGTGTCCCCTAGTAATTGATCCATTTTACAAGCAAATGGTGATTACACAGACCTATTGTACGAATTAGCACAAGTTTACTGTACAAATGAGGTTCAGTTTATTAAGCAGATCAACCCTGACACTATTCCAAGGGACAATATGTGTCTGTGTGTATCTCTATATGGATTTCTTTTGTGAATGTCTGTGTTTTTCTGTGTCACTCTCTGTATGTGTGTTTGTCTATGAATGTGGTATTGTACCTTTGTTTGTACAGCTCTGCCTGCAATGGGACACACTTTCAATGAATGAATGAATTAAAATGTGATGAATCAAAGACACAGAGTCTCTCTCTCTCTCTCTCTCTTTCTTGTAGTCTGACCCTCTGGTGTTTATAGTGATACAATGCCATCCTCTGTTGGCCTCCCCATGTCATATTGCAAGCAACATATATTCCCCGATTTCACGACTTTGCCTTCCTGGTCCTCCGGGGGATGGATCAATCAAAGTTTTATTAAAAACAACAACAGATGCCTGCCCTGCAATCACTGGTGAAATTGCTGATGTCTCAGCAGGTGGAATGACTGAGTAAATCCTTTCCCACAGAGGGAGCAGGTAACAACTTCTCACTATTGTGTATTCGTTCGTGTCTCAGAAGGTTGTTTGAATGGACGAATCGTTTCCCACACCTGGTGCAAGGGAGTGGCCTCTCCCCAGTGTGAATGTTCTGGTGCGACAGCACTTCACGCCTGCTTTTAAAGCTCTTCTCACAATGTGGACATTTGAAGCGTCTCTCATCAGTGTGAACCATTTGGTGTGCCCGAAGGTTGTTTCCAAGTCCTGATGAACTGACTCACTTTCAGATCTTTATGGGATATTTGTTTGGAATTCTTGGTGATAAGTGTGCCTCTGTGATTCTCTGTAAACAATTTTAAATCAGGAAAAGGTGAGTATGAAAAAGAGAACTGTTTAAGACACTAAAGGACATGGTAAAATGGAGTACATTGAATCTGATAATTTGATGTGAAAGACGCTTAAATAGTGACCGCAGAAAGTTACTGGATTGTCATAAAAACTCAACTAGTTCATGAATGCCTTCAGGGAAGGAGATCCACTGCCTGTCCTAGGCCTCCGCAAGACTCAGCCTTCAATGAGAGGAGAGACACTGAGAGCAATGGGATACTTAAGGACACAGTTTCATCCGTCTCCATCACAGAAATGAGTTTGACAGATCCTCCCTCCAAGAAGCTTAAGACCAGCGTGAACGGGGAACCATCAACCATCACCTATAGACCTCTCTCCCAGACACACACTGCTCTGTTGTGGACACATGTCACTGTTTCTTTATAGCTGCTGCACGACAATCCTGTAATCCTTCTAAGGAAGGGTCACCGGACCCGAAACGTTAACTTTTTTTTTTACCTTCACGGATGCTGCCAGACCTGCTGAGCTTTTCCGGCAACTTTGTTTTTGATCCTGCAACCCCTCATTGAACAGCACTGCGGGAGAACTCACTGCAGTCCCAGTCTTAAATTAGATGTAAGTTAGATTAGAACTATTCTTGAGAAATACCTCCTCCTAAAACAATGCCTGAACTTTCAACAGACATCTTCAGGTTAGCAACTAAGGCGAGGAATACTTCCCGTGACAGCCTCACTTCGGAAGTCATGAGAACTGGTCAGTCTCAGCGGCGCCTGGCGTTAAACTCAGCAGCTTCTCCTCACTCTCCTCTCTGGATGAAAATAAAACTAAAAGTAACCCACACAGGAGGCCAGGGACCGACTTCGGCATTCAACCGTAAAGCAGTTCTTTGATTGTGGTTACAGACTGAGTTTTGGGAGCAATCCCGACAACGGACACAACAACGTGCGGCATTGGGAGCTCTGCAAGAAAGTGAAAATGTTGCAAATCCTCAGCAGCTGACGCAGTATCTCTGGAGAGAGACAGAGAGAGTGAGTGCAAATTCCAGCTCAATGATCTTCCGTCTTGAATAATTGATACTCCTCACCCACCGGGGCTCTAGCCGCTTGTCCACCGAACTCGAGCTCTGGGAGTGGCTGAGACTCGCTGTCACTGAGGCTGCCTTCAGCTTCCGGAAGTCGCACTCTGCATGCTCCGCAGGGACGGGAAACAACTAATGCTGGAGATCACAAGGTGTGGAGCTGGATGAACACAGCAGGCCAGGCAGCATCAGAGCAGCAGGAAAGCCGACGTTTCGAGTCACCGAAACGTCAGCTTTCCTGCTGCTCTGATGCTGCCTGACCTGCTGTATCCATCTACACCTTGTGATCTCAGACTCCAGCATCGGCAGTTCCTACTATCTCCTAATGCTGGAGTTCACAGCGGGTCCGGCAGTATCCATGGGGAGAGAGGGAGCAAGGTAACGGTTCCAGTCTAGATGACTCTTCATCAGAACTGACGTGAGGTGTGGAGGGGGCAGCATTTATGTAATGGTGGGGTAGGGGGAGTGCTGAGGGAGCAAGGCTGTTGATGAAGCAGATTAAGTGATCGGAATGTGAGCATAGCAGAACAATGGTGTGTCTTAACTGCCAGACTGGCAAGGACAGACAGCCCCACTGGGGTGGGGGGAGGGGAGAGATGGCATGGTGACAGAGAATACATCCAGTAAAACTAAAAGTTCGGGAAGGAATGGGAAATCAGTAACGTTTTGGATGGAGTGACCCTTCCTGAGAACTCCAGTTCTCTACAGATGCTGCTAAATCTGCTGAGCTTTTCCAGCAATTTTTATTTTTATTTCTGATTTATAGCATTCGCAGTTATTTTGATTTTTATTGCGAAGGAATGGGAGTGGGTCACAATCTGAAGGTGCTCGACTCAAAATTAGGCTCAGGAGGTTATAAACTGCCTAGTCTGAAGGTGATAATAGTGTGGAGCTGGAGGAACACAGCACGCCAGGCAGCATCAGAGGAGTAGGACAGTTGACGTTTCAGATCGGGAGAAGGAGAATGGAAGTTAAGGAAAGATTGAGGAGGAGATAGTCATTATTCCAGTGGATCCTAGCTGTCCTGATGGTTTCTCAGACTCCCTCTCTCCCATGAGGTACAGGTCGTGTCGTGGAGTTTGCTTCAGCCTGACTGGTTCAGGGAGGAGTGGGTGTGGAGTTAAAGGATCAAAGGAGTGGAGGTAGGGTATAAACGACAGGACTCAAGATCGAGTTCAATAATTTTAGGGCCTAAACTCTCCCATGTCCTAGCCCCCTACCCCACACACCAGGTGTTATCACATAGCCTGTCACTATCACCACCTATTGTCACTAACAGTCCCCATTAACAGCTATTCAACCTCCTAGCCAAATCTTTATCAACTCCTTTGTCATTCTCTCTCTTCGGACTCAATCCTTTATCCTATTGTTTACCCCACCCCTCCCTATTTTCAGCAAATAAACCGATATTTTCCCAGCTGCCATCAGTTCTGAGGAAGGGTTGAAATGTTAAAGGGTTAATATCTGTTCTGCTGACATGTAAGAAATTAGGTGCTTCGTGGGCGTCCCTGTCTCGCAGACAAAATGAGGTAATCTAATTACACTCTGCTCTCTGTAAATGTTGAATTAAGGCTAAAAGGATAAGGAACTATCTAGTCTTACACATTGTTTTTGGGCGGCTGACCTTTGTTTTACTGTTAGATGATTAAGTTACGTACTATCACTTGCTAGGCATGTGACTATGGGGGAGTAAAAAATTGTATCTTGCGTACATGACTGGCTGTGATGTAAAATCCTATATAAAGGGAGGACAGTTCCCTTATGAGAGAGCACCGCTTGACACGGCTCCGCAAGCCCTGCGAAGATTGTCAAATGATCCTCCAAAGCTTGTACTTGCTTAAATAAACTGTGGCTGTTCACAGAAGTTGGCGTATTGCATTTGTATCAAGTGTGGAGGAATCTCCTAAAAGGGAACTCAACATTTGGTGGCAGCGGTGGGATTCCAACATATACGGAACTTCCAGACGGACTGAATAAGTGATCGCCTGTGTGACGGTGACGTGAGACGGATGGGCCCACAAGGTAAGATTTACCTTGATCTCTCTCATTAACCTATCACTCAGTCGACCCCTCATCCCCTAGAACTCTGTAGTGACGGAATCTCCGAGATAACCTCCGCACTTGGACGTTGACGAGTTTGTCTCAAGGAGGTTAGAGTCCCCCTGGAATTCAGAGGTTAGAGTCCTCCTAACTGTAAGTACCGGGAATTCAGGGGTTAGAGTCCTCCTAACTGTAAGTACTAGGAATTCGGGGGTTAGAGTCCTCCTAACTGTAAGTACCGGGAATTCGGGGGTTAGAGTCCTTCTAACTGTAAGTATCGGGAATTCGGAGGTTAGAGTCCTCCAATACCGGGGTTCGAGTCCCTGGAACGTAGTACCTAAGGTAAAAGATAACTACAGTGTCTGTCTCAACCACCCTGCCTTAGACCAGTTGTTAAGAGGGGAAATCCCCCACGCGAAGGTCAGGATCCTGAAGTGGGTGAGGAGACCAAGGACACTGGACTAGTATATAGAAATAAGTAAGAAGTAGAAGCGTTAAAATGGGACAGAGTGGGTGTCGGAACCCCTTTGCATCGGTTCTGTCGGGATGACCCCGAAAATTAAGAACGGTTCTGACGTCTGTCGGCATGCCTAAATAAGAAATTGGGAAATGAAATTTGGCCAATAGGGGAACTTGGGATGTAGATAAATGCATAAAAGCGGAAGAGGCAATTTGGAAACGTAATACGGAGACAAAATGGAAAACTTTAATATCCACGTGGAGAAAGACTGCTGAGGAAATAATAAATAAATCTAAACAGGCCAGCTGGGAGAATAATGCACGTCAGAGAGGGATTAGAGTATGTGATCATGAGGGAAACCCTATATCGTGGGAGGTGTTGAAGCGGCAGTGTGAGGATTATGATATGAGTAAAGCAGAACAGGAAAGATTGAGAAAGGAGAGGCAAAATAAGGAATCAGGGTTGAAGTGTCAAGCGGGTTTATCATGTGGGAATAAAATGGAGGTATCTCCTGACATGTCTGGTCTGCCAATATTGTTCCAAAATAATGACACTGATGACCAGGAGGAGGATTGGCAAATTCCTCCTAGTGCCCCACCCGCCCAACCACATCAGCACTATACATCCAAAATCTCCTAAAAGCCATCCTCCTCCCCAAGCAATTGGCCATAATCAAATGTGCGGCCCATGTAATGGTCACAACAGATATCAGCAAAGGCAATGCCAGAGCTGATCGAGCTATCAAAGACGCTGCAACAGCACGCAATTCTATTGTGTCCTCTATGAACCGGCAGGCGTTAAATCGCTCACCTGCTTCGAACACAACGGGCATACTAGACATTGTCACTGTGCAGCATTTACAGGGGGACGCCCCTGACTCAGAAAAAGACATATGGAAGACGCATGGGTGTTCGCACTCTGCATCAAGAGGTCTCTGGATCACTCCAGTTGGCCAAATGTGTATACCTGATGCTTTGTCACCAATGCTTATTGACTGTCTTCATACTGATACCCACCTTGGCAAGGAGGGAATGAGTAATATCATGTTACGTACCTGGTGGCACCCCCGATTGGCTGAGGCAGCCCAGAAGCGTGTCAGGTCATGTCTGACATGTCAGCAAAATAATGCCAGCCAAGGAATGCGGTGCGTAACAGGGAAAACACCCTTGCCAGGTGGCCCATTTGAGTGTATTCAGCTTGATTTCATTGAATTGCAGCGTGTACATTGCTATAAGTGTTGTCTTGTTATTGTTGATGTATTTAGCAGATGGATTGAAGCCTTTCCAACCACTAATAATAAAGCCTCAACGGTGGTAAAATTACTACTGACAGAGATCGTACCGAGGTTTGGAGTGCCTCGACAGATTAGTTCAGACAATGGCCCCCACTTTGTAGGGAAAATCAACAAAGAACTATGTGAGGTGTTACACATCCAACAACAATTCCACTGTGCCTACCACCCCCAGGTGGCAGGGATAGTGGAAAGAGCTAACGGAACTCTCAAAACTAAATTGATTAAGCTAACATCTGAAACTGGCCTTAACTGGCTAAAGGTTTTGCCTTTATCTCTGTACCACATGAGAATAACACCACACTTCACTACTGGACTCTCGGCCGCAGAAATAATTTATGGCCGACCCAGTAGGACCCCTTGGGATGCCGACGCAGACCCACCTACCCACGTAGACTTAAATATTATGGGAGAGGAAATGCAAAGATACTTTCAGCAGCTAACATCGTCTCTAAGGTTTCTCCATTCACAGGTAAAGCACGCCTTCGGACCACCATCACAAGCGACGGATCAGAGCTCAGATGACCAGAATGAACTCCCCAGACTACAAACAGGAGACCTCGCGCTGATCAAAGACTGGGATCGCCCCAAGCTCGGATCCAGGTGGAAAGGACCATTCAAAATACTTCTCCAGACTCCGACGGCGCTTCAAGTCAAAGGGCAGAATCGCTGGATCCACCTAAGTGACTGTAAACGATGGGTTCCCTCACCATCTTGAAAATAATCATTGGACTAAGTATTGTTCATACTGTGAGTGGGTTGGAGGACAATTTGTTTTATAAGACACATATCCTACTGCATGGTAATCGAACAGTGTGTTATCCGCTAGCACAATCTGTAGAAGCCTTGTTTGTAGCAACCCCAGGATGGAACCCTCACCAACTCTATGAAGTGGATTATTCTGGTGAGCCTTGCCAAGGGAAGAGAGGAACCTGGAGCAGGGGTGTGCAGGCTAAATGTGTAGAATTGATAAGTAACGGCCCCTCCAATTGTACAGGCACTAAACCTCAGTCTGGGAAGGAAGAGGCCAACTGTACGGATCCTAACAGCTATCCGCTTTGTTTTAATGGTACTGGAAGTTGTTGTGTATATGCCTTAGTAAACATCACCGACCATCCCCATGATGCTTCCTGGCCCCATCAGTGTGTAAAACGGACTTGTACAACTAAAGGAGGGCTATTGAGCTGCCCCTGTTTGGAATCAAAACCGGTAAACATGACTTCAGGCATACATTGGACTTGTGGGAGTTGTAATGGCACCCATGTCGAAACGGTGTATGGGACGTTTCTGTTTCACTCCTCAGACTTCCAACCATTTAAGGGTCAATCCTCCTGGAATAGTAACAAGATAGTCCGTGAGTCCGTTACCTGCTACCGTGCTAAGAAGGGATTCGTTTTCCTTCTCAATGGGACCTTTTCTACTGCTACTCCAACTTTGCCGGTGCTATTTGCTGTTGGGACCGTTGGGCCTCTCATGGTTCCTTGTCCCCAACGAGCATATACTCAACGACGAATTGTCACACGCTTCATAAGCAAGGAGTTTTGCGCTGACTGGCAGGATCCAGTAACCCTGCGCTCTTCCTTGGGACATGGCTTCCTGGGAACTGTCACTTTGGGAGGCTCCTCGGGGGTGGTGTCCGCTAAAAACTTTAACTACCTTATATGTGGACTCACCGCCCTGGCAAATAGCACAATGTGGGCATTGGAAGCAGTAAATCAAAAATTAGCTGAACTTCAGCTCTATGCTCAGCGAACCCGGTATGCAGTGGACTATCAGCTGGCTGAACAAGGGGGAGTTTGTACAATAGTAGGAGACAAATGCATCACCCATGTTACGGACGAATCATACAACATAACCCACGCCATCCAGTCTATTAAGAAACAATTGGAAGATGTCAGACAAGGTCCTAAGAAAGGAGATGACTGGCTATGGTGGCTACTGGGAGGATCCTGGGGATCCTATCTACTGCATGGGCTAGTAATTTTTGTTGTTATAATCATTGTATGTTGTGTGTTTATAACTTGCTTAAATACTGGCTGTAAGATTCTTACGAATAAGCTGGCAGCGCCTTTCTCAGCCCCCATTTAGTTGGTTATCATGGAATGATAAAAGGAGGGAATGAAATGTTAAAGGGTTAATATCTGTTCTGCTGACATGTAAGAAATTAGTTGCTTTGTGGGCGCCCCTGCCTCGCAGACAAAATGCGGTAATCTAATTATACTCTGCTCTCTGTAAATGTTGAATTAAGGCTAAAAGGATACGGAACTATCTAGTCTTACACATTGTTTTTGGGCAGCTGACCTTTGTTTTACTGTTAGATGATTAAGTTACGTACTATCACTGTTGCTAGGCATGTGACTATGGGGGAGTAAAAAATTGTATCTTGCATACATGACTGTGATGTAAAATCCTATATAAAGGGAGGACGGTTCCCTTATTAGAGAGCATTGCTTGACAAGGCTCCGCAAGCCCTGCGAAGATTGTTAAGTGATCCTCCAAAGCTTGTACTTGCTTAAATAAACTGTGGCTATTCACAGAAGTTGGCGTATTGCATTTGTATCAAGTGTGTCAGAATCTCCTAAAAGGGAACTCAACAGGGTCACTTGACCCAAAACATTGACTCTGGATTATTTCTTTACAGATGCTGCCAGATCTGCTGAGCTTTTCCAGCAACTTCTGTTTTTGTTCCTGATTTACAGCATCCACAGTTCTTTCAGTTTTTATTTAGTATATGCCTCTGTCTATCCCTCCCCTTCCCTACCCCCTCACGTCACACACTGGTCCCAGACTTAAAATCCACATAGAGACAAAGCTTCAGTTTCAAACCGGCAGGAGCAACAACACAGGTTCATTTAGACAATGGAACGCAGGCTTCTGGAACTCAAGGACGCAAATTTATTTCACAAGGGAACACAGGATTTTCACAGAGATCATCACAAATGGGAGTGAAATGAACAAATCAGCAAGTTTACTTTTAATGAGTTTCTGAGAATTCTATGAATGAATCAATCTATTTTATAATGAATGGTGGTTACAAGGTCTAATGTATAAATTAATGGGTTTATTGTATAAATGAACTTGAGTTTATTACTTTACTCTCACTCCCTCTCCCCACTGTGGTCTCTTTAATTGAGCTGGAGTTCATTACCCTCAACAGAAACAGACCCAAATGAACATGCTTCAATCTTGCTTAAGAAATGAGACAAACAAAAAATCAAACAGCACTAACACAGATCGCTAGCAGGTGGGACTTGAAACCAGAGCTGCTGGCTGAGAGGGAGGGCTCTATACAGATGACAGGACAGAGAGAGCAATGAGCAAAACATATGGAACTTTGACCTTCAAGGGTGGTATGGTTGCTCAGTGGTCAGCACTGCTGCCTCACAGTACCAGGGACCTAGGTTCAATTTCACCCTTGGGTGACTGTGTGGAGTTTGCACATTCTCCCTGTGACTGTGTGGGTTTTCACTGGGTGCTCCAGTTTCTTCCCATAATCCACAGATGTGCAGGTTAGATGGATTGGCTATGCTAAATTGCCCATAGCATTCAGGATATGCAGGTTAGGTAAATTAGCCATGGGACACGCAGGATTATAGGGATAGGATGGAGTGGGACTGGGTGGGATGCTCTTTGGAGTGTCAGCATGGACTGAATGGCCTGTTTTCTCACTGTAAGGATTCTATAAATCAAGATATCGAGAAAATCACACAAAAGATGCTGATCTTTCAAAAACCTCTCTTTAGGACAGAACCAGAATCCAGTTCTGGTCATCATGCTTTAAATGTGTGAGTTTTGATAGGTTTCCATTCTAGTGATGAATCAAGGATTGGGGAGCTAGAGTTAAGGTTTTGGGAAAGAGATGCAGAGGTGATGTCACGAAAAGTTTCATTAAGACCAACAACAGCAACAGGCGCCTGCCCCTGCAGTGAACTCGCTGGTGTCTCAGCAGGTGGGATGACTGAGTAAATCCCTTCCCACAGGGGAAGGTGGAAATGCAATGATGCACTCACAGCGTTGACAGCCCATTCAGCTGTTGTGTGTGTGTTTTGGGCGGGGGTGGTGTGGATTTACTTATTGATCTCACCTGCACACCCACAAACAAGTTGACAACCCAGAGATGCTGTTCAGTTACTCCAAGTGTGAGGAGGTATTCATTCTGTCAGACAGTTTAACTGTTAAAAGACGTTTTAGATGCCCAGTTTATTGGGAAGTGTTATTCAGCTTCCAGGGACCTGATATCCGAGCCATGTATTCTCATTGATGTGTTCTTGGTGCAGGAGTGAGTTCAGGTGATCATCGCAACTCATTGTACACTGGTACACTCACAATAGAGAGAGGCAGCTCACCTTCTTCATGCATGGAACAGATTCATTCAGTCATCCACCCCCCTGAAACACCACAAAGATCATACTGAGGAGAGATCTCTGAAAAATCTAGAATATGGCAAGCGCATTAAAGGTTCCAGTGAACTGATGTCCCATTAACATATTCAGACTTGTTAGGGGCTCTCATGAGGGATTGTATCAGGAATGAATGGCCCCTGTACAAGCCAGATAGACACCATCGATCTGAGCTTGTGAGCACTTAGAGAATGATAAGAAACAGTAAAGAATGCTCAATGGATATTTTTTAGAAGGACTAAGTTTTATGGTGGAGTTCCTCAGGAGTTGGCATTGAGACTCTTCCTTTTCCCTACATATGTTAATGGTCTAGAACTTGCTGATCACAGCACAATTTCAACTGTCAAAGTAATAGATGCAGGTACAGTTACACTGTTTAAAAAACATATTGATAAGTTCATGATTCGGCGATGTTTGGACAGATACGGGCTAAGCACAGGCAGGTTGGACTTGTTCAGTTTGGGAATATGGTTGGCGTGGACTGGTTGGACCAAAGAGTCTATTTTCATGCTGTATGATTCTATGACTCTATTTAAGTTGATTGGACATTGACCAATTAGAGGAGTGGGCAGATCGATGACAGATCAAACATGAATAGTGTAAAATAAAGGGTGACTACTCTAAAGAGGACATGAGCAGAGACACCTGGATGTATATGTGCACAAGGTTTTAAAGGTGGCAGGACAGGAGGGAAAGTGATTAATGAAGCCTATAGTAACCCAAGGTTTATTATTAGGGGCATAGATTAGAAGAGGTTATGCTGAGTTTGTGTCAGGCACTAGGTATTGTGTACAGTCTGGGTACCACACTTCAGCAAGAATGAGAATTGATTAGAAAAAGTGCAGAAGAGTTTTACAGGAATGGTTCCAGGGATGAAGGATTTGTTATAAAAATACCGTGAAGGAATTGGTAATGTTTCCATTACAAAAAAGGCTAAAAGGAAATTTGATTGAAGTTTTCAAAATCATGAGGGATCTACTCGCAGGAGATAGGGAGAAATTGATTCTGTCCATAAATTGATTGAGAACCAAAGGCATAATTTGAAAGTTAAATGCAAAAGAAGCAAATGCAAGGAGAGAGAAACCTTTCTCATAGCGAATACTTAGGAAATACACCAGCTGGAAATATGGTGCCAACAACTTGAACTGAAACATTCAAGACAGGATCAAATAATCGTGAATTGAAACAATGTGCAGGACTAAGTGGAAAGGCAAGAGAATGACACTAAGTTATGTTGCTCATTTTGAGAGGCAGTGCTGATACAATGGGCAAACTGGCCTCTTTCTGCACCACAACAATTCTTTGATTCTGTTTTGGTCTTTCCATCCAGTCAGCTGCCTGCCTCTTCAGTCCATACAGCCTGATCAGGTTCACCTTTTAGATCAGTCAAACTGTGATGGATGATAAGTCTGTTACAAAACAGAAAGAGTGCAGCTGTTATGAGTAGCTACTCAAGACAGTCAAAAGTTAGGCAGTGGTGCTCCACAGGCAGCAACACTGAACTCACTGTTATTAACAATATATAATACTTTGGGTATCAGAAATATGAACTCCAATTTTGAAATTTGGAGGCAGAATCCCAGTAAATTGCAAACAGAAATTTTAAATTAATAATACATGGTAGAACAGCTCATTAAATTTTTAATTTAATAGCTGACTGAACAAGCCATGAGGAAGTCATACACTGCTTTATTTACGGATTAACTGGTTATCAAATTGAGAGGTAAAGTTAACAGTGAGGAGGACTACTAAATGTCCTGGTATCTGACAATACACATCAATAAAATGGTGAATTCCGGATAACACATTGCAGATCCAGTCTTAGTTGGAGATCAAACGTTTGTTGTAATTGTATCAGTATTTAACAGCCCCTGTGAACTCTTCAATCTGCTGTTTAAATGCACAGCTTAATCAATTACTCTTATTAATTCACAAGGTATGGGCATTGCTGGCTTGGCCAGTATTTATTTTCCATCCCTAACTGACCTGCAGAGTGATCTTGAGCTGCCTTCTAGAACCACTACAGTCCATGCAGTATAGGGACACTGACAATGCCGATCAAGAGGGAGGTCCAGGATCTTGACCCAGCAATAATGAAGGATTAGCAATATATTTAAAGTCAGGATGGTGAGCGTCTAGCAGCGGAACTTACAGGTAGTGAGTTTGCCATGCTATTGCCCTTCTCGAAGATAGAGGTTGCAGGTTTGGAGGTGAGTTACTCATTATAGAATGCCTAGTCTCTGACCAGTTATTGCTTAATGTTAAAATTGCTATAAAAATAAAATTAGTTTTTGACAGTTTATTGAAACTGTTGCCTCATGACAGTCACAAAAACATGTTTAAAACTTAACAGAATAGTAACCAGAGATAGTAGGAACTGCAGATGCTGGA